GACAATAGTAATTACTACTTATAATAAGAATTTTGGCATTTCAGCATTTATTAAAAAGATTTCGGCAAGCATCCTTATTTCAGGGTGAAATCTATTTTGGGATGTATTACAAACAAGCATAGAATTAATTTCCCGGTGTGACTATATGGGATATACGAATTGATATTCTATCATGTGTCAGATAAATAATGTGTGACGATTGTTTGAAAAATAAATGCAGATATTCAAACTCTTAAATCACGAAAAAAAAATAACAAAGTATGTAATTATATACGATATATTAGCCACCAGGACCAGTTTTATTAATACATCGAAAAATACACAGAATAAATATATTATAGATAATGAAAATCTAATTGTTATATAGAGGTGATAATACTGTTGAACTATCTTCCTGCCTATGTGATATAGAAGTAGATGCGTGGAATAATAAAGACATGTTGATGATAATCATATTCTATAAAACCAGAATAGTGTTAGATTTTTAGTCACAAAGTAGAATCAAATTAATTTGAGTAACAAACCCGTAGAGTCAACAAAGTCTTTATAAAGTTTGTTAAATCGTAATCCCCTATTCGATTCACTGGAATTTCAGCTGAGTGTAAATTGTAACAACGATGGATTTCGTCTACACCTCTTATAATAACACTCAGATGTAATTTACGTCCTATGAAAGTTTTGTATCATTAAAAAATATTAACTTGTACGGAATTAAAGGACAAACATAAAATTTATATAACCTGCGACCTGAATTTCAACAATTCCGAACTGCTCTTTTTCTGGTTTACACCCTTTACGAGCCCAGTATAATCCATCATTTACCTCCCGTCATAATTTTATTTTATCATCTAGTTCTTTTTGCGGGGTGCAGAATATACGTGAACATTCGCCATATAAAAGTTCATAAACTTTCCCCTCACGATGAACTTCAAACATTATATCTGGTCATCTGCCTGTTTTACCTACACCCCTTCTATTCTTACTAGCAATACTTTGACGTTCATATCTAAAAAAGAAAAATTGCTTTGCAAGCGTAGTCTTTAAAGCATGTATTGATAACTCATACACTTACGTGCTAATAAATGAGGACTTTCCAAAAGGGAGGTTTTTCAATATTGCACAAATTAATAGCACCACCACATTTGACACGTAGGTACCTTCGTTTAATGAACCGACAAAATTAGGTCCAAAAGCGGGATTGTTCCAGATATCTTTTATTGTGCTAAGAATTTCTTTTGTAACTTCTTTAATAACTTCCACCGATTCTTTCCAACTTACATCATATTTTAATAACCTCGGTGTGCCTTCTGTCTGATGTCCATCAAAGCCTGTCACAAATTCTCTACACATCTCTCGAATTATTGGTAAGTTTGGGGTACCATTCACTGTGCGGGTTTCAAGAATGTTTTTTTCATAGGAGAGGGAAGATGATTCACTAGATCCGAACTATCATCAATTATCTGGTTGGCGAGTGGATCACTCCATTCGAAACTGGAAGCCGTTACATCTCTTAGACCTAGAGTTAACTGCTGTGCAAGCACTGAAGAATCTCTCTAGATGGAGTATTAGTAAGATTTATATCAAAGCCAATACAGCTAAAATATTTAACATTACTTACCGTCAGTTTCAACTTCAACTTTTTAAGATTGGCATCAATTTGTTCCAAAGTGAAAGGTTTTTCTTTGCTTACTTTTAGTACTCCAATGTTGAGTAAGCCATAGATCCCTTCATATGCCACCTCAAACTAATACATGTGTATGGATACAGTTTTAGTTAGAAGTATTGCGCCAGCAAAAAAGTTCAGATCTAATTCTATATACCACCTATACCACACCAGTTAACGCGCGCGCTGTCAGTATGTCGCAGGCAAAGCTAATGTTCTTGTGGGACCCACACGCTGACACTAACTTATGTGTGGTCCGCTTTCACCACATATAAACAGAACACAATAATACAGTATAACCATCCTCCTCATGTTCCCAGGATTAAATTCTGTACACGGGCTAAATAGGATAACTAAAGCTGATATATTTGATATTCAGGTTGAACCAAATCTGCGACACTCATCATCCAGTTAATGAGCCAAACCATTTTTAGATCACGTTATAAAACTTACTTGTAGAGGTATTTGCAAAAGTTTTTGTTGTTGAGTGGAATCTTGAGAGTATAGATTCAACGCTGACGAAATTGCCCGGTGAACCACCCCCCTTATTTCTTCCTTTGGAATCCATGGTTCTTCATTTAATGCTTGGTAGATGACAGTGGAGGCATTTATATTTTCTTCTTCAGCTGTTACTATAAAATTGTAAATTTTTGTATATAATTCGCTCATGTTTACAAGGTAGGAAAAAAATAAAGTTTTGTTAATATGATGTGTAAGAAATAAATTACTATAAAGCAACGAACGAGCAAAACGTAGATATACTGCCCTTTTAAAACGTTTCCTCCGCTCATTTCTGGTCTCATTTAGGTAGACTTAGGGTGTGTGGAACTGGAGTGATGCAATGCACAGCGAAAAAACTTTTTCACAAAGAAAATGCATATGCCACGAGTTAGTAAATCAGATTTAGAATTTATAGTAACAATCAGCAGGTCACACAATTACATCATACATGAAAAGTTCCATGACCTTCTAATTTATTCTGTGATATATGTTGATCAAACATCTGTGTAATGCAATCAATTTTTATCGCGAAAAAATGATTTATGCATTGTAAGTTAATTTAGACCTAGTTAAAAATTTGTACAAATTGAGTGTGAATTTTTTCCCATTCTTCCATAAGATTATCAAGCCATGCAATACTTAAACCACTCTTTAGTATACTGCGACGTAATAACTCTTCACCGACTAGCCTTTCCCTATCTGTTAAAAATTTATGATATTTTCTGGTATCTTCATTCCTTTTTATCCCTTCACGATATAATCGTATATCTCTCTCCAAATCATCACGGAAGCATCCCATGCTTCACCTTTTTTTTTCAGCCTCAGTTAAGGATGCTTGACTAAATTCTTTCAGAAAAATATCGTTATAATTTTGACGGGTTACACACTAATTGTTAATTAGAATTTCGACATAATTTCGATTACGACGGATTTCAAAATTCGTCAGAATTTCGACATGTTATTTACTAATAGTTTATTATAATTTCGACAGAATTTAGACAGTCACTAAGGGATTTCAGCAAGCAACCTTAGCCTCAGTAATGATTGAAAATTTCTTGGGATCAATTTTATGTTTAATGGCATATTGACGTAAGCCAGCCTCTAGCTGATAAATCTTATTTGGATTAGTTATGCTAACTTCACTGATTTGTGAGGATTTAGGAACTTCAGACTTTATCCAGGGATCAAGCTCAGTCTTTTCCATATATGCTCTATATAAGCTTGAACGGATTTTATCTGTCAAATGGCTTGGTGAATCAATCAATTTAGCATGCCATTTGCAATAGTCATCAGTTAATATCTTGCCGGAGATAGTCACAGAATGGCTAAACGAATAATTTTGCTGTAAAATAATATCAGAAGACATATTATCATTTTATATTAATGCAAGTCAATTCAAAATCACGTAGCTGTCAAGAAAAAAATATCACTATCCATTCGTGTAGTTATCTACTTTTGATATATATGCGAAAGAAACGAATTGGCAAGAGTGAATGATTAAAACCATCTTTATCTTTCGGAGAAAATACACTTCATGCATTAGTAGAGCCAGCGTGACTTATGCTGTGATCTCAATTTCATGCTCCCCACATTTAATAAAATAAGACCCAGCTTCACATCTGCCTCTTATACTCTTCTTATCCTTATGACTCAACTTGCATGCTGAACATAACGACTTATCAATAATTCCATAATAATCAAATTTTTCACTACTAAACTCTCTATATATCAAGATATTGACCTAATATTTTATTACGAAAATAAACACGATCATGAGCTGGATTATTCTGTTTTTCAGGTATGGTATTATTTGGTTGAGATGTGGATAATTCATTTACCTTGATTTTCAGTGAGGCTTTCTTGGTAGGTGGTATACTAATATTGGCTTTCAAAGTGGAAGGATCTGAGACTTGAGAACTTATCTTGATCATTGAGCCACAAGCGTTAGAGGTCAGGGGTAGGAAGTGTTGAACGTTTGATTCCTCGGTAGTTATATTTGTCTCAGTTTCGGGTAAAGCATCTAAAGGATTATTAATAGAACTATCTTGATTATCGGAAAATTCGGCATTGGGATTCTTGGAGAAATAATCAATGATAATTTGTATTTGACTATCAGATAATTCAAAAATAGAGTTTGCACTATATGTTTTAATATATTTAATTTTATCCATTCCTATCTTTTCAAATAGCTCATGAATCTTTCTAGCTCTATATGTCTTTTTGTATAAATTTTCTCGTTTGGTACCAGGAATTCACTTAATAATAAAATTATAAATTATTCCCTTTGCTTTTTTCTCACTAATCTGATCCGTTCTCATAATCTCTTTAACCTGATAATAGAATTCCTTAAAATAGTTATACAAGCATAAAATTTCAGCTTGATTAGCTTTTACTGTTTCTTTTTCAGCATTACATGCTTTTTCATATAAGCAAGCTATGGTTTGCAATACATTAGATATTTCTTGGCATTTTTCCTTCAGGGCCGGAAGCGAGATTTCTATCAAATGATTTTTAGGTGAAGTGATGGTAAAATCAAATATATCTTGTATAATATCTTGCGTTGTTTTCTTCTTGTGCGATTGACCTGAGTATATCGGTACATCATCGGATATAAGGAGCTTTTTTTCCCGATTCCTCTCTCTTATCTCATTACTGACCTTTTCCTTATATTTTGAATCCACGAATTTGTCAACCTCCTTATCTTCTGGCGATATGGGCGAAGAGTTGGCATTAATACACTGGCTTATAACGGTGCTAGGTATATCAACATTTGTGTCTTCCTCCGGAGAAATCTCGTTTTGTGACTTCCTGAAATCCTGTTCTAATTTCACAACTCTAGCTCTAAGTTCGATATTCTCAGCATCACTATCTCTCCTATTTTTCTCTAACTCCTCGATTCTGCTCTTAAGCTCAGCATTCTCTTCCATAGCCCGCTTTAATTTTGTATTCTCGGCCTTGACCTCAGTGTTCTCTTTTCTAAGCCCAGAAATCGTGGCAATGAGTTGAGAATTTAATTCTTGCAACGAATCGATTTTTGATTGAGTGTCTGACATTGTTTATACAAGATGCGAATATGTTCAGATGCGAGAGCATCCTCATTCCATGAGAAAGTTTATTAAAAATCACATGACTCTGATTGTCGCGAGAGAAAAAAGCGTGGGAAGAGGCTAATATACAATGATCGCCTTCATGTCACAAGGGCGTAGTAATGTGGCGCAGTAATATATCGCAATTTGAGAAGTGAATATTATAAATAACAAGTATCATAATGGAAGTTTGGTTGTCAGTAGAAAATTCTTCACACTTACTAGTTTCCAATATCGGCCGTGTAAAGAACAAAAAAGGTGTGTTGTTTATCCTTGCTAATGCAAATCAACTCTTCGCTTCCCTATTATATGCATGAATCTGAGTAATTATTCGTTATTCATCTGCTAATACAAAAATTATACCTTGATTGCATAACCGACTCATCTCTTGGCTTGGTAGAATGAAAAGCGGATACAGTAGATCAGCTTGTATCATATCAACCAGATTTATTTATTTATACGTCATCATTGTCCTATCACTTTTTCCACAATTACGTATTTCTTTGACCAGAAGTATTTAAGGAGTGCTTGAGAAACCTTTGAACCTCATCAACAAATATCCATCTCACTAATAGCTCCCTTATCAATAATAACAACTTTCCCATTGATAACACCAATGACCACTCCTCTTCCCCCTGGTCTTACTTTAAATGAGAGAGAAACTGAGGTATTTAATGGTCTCTCCCGACGACAACTAAGAGCGTTTAACGCCCTGCCAGATAATCCATCGAAAGTTATTTTTATCCAAGCGATTATGACTGAGCAGGAGAGAGATCGCCAAAAATCGGTATGTATAGAATAAGCGACATATACACTATGTATCGTTAAAATTTTTATTAAATCTTTGTAGCCTCTTCATCGTTTTTTTTCGCGACTTTTCCGCTAGGACTTGGACCAAAATATCCTCTATACTATAATCTACGTTTCTGTCCTTGTCCTACTCACAGTTTTTAGTGCAACCATTTATAAGAATAACGAAGATAAATTAAAAATTTTTTTAATTGTCCTCAATGGCTTATTATTTGTAATTCAAATTACTATGATGGCGATAACATTAAAAAGAGGAAATCTTGAAATTTCTAGCATAATGTTAATATCACTTATTATAATTATAGGAATATTATGCGCTGTATTATTGCCGGTATTTGTTAAAAGTTTATCCGGAACATTAACAGTATTTTATGTAGAAGCTAGCATAATCTTTTGTCATACTTTGATGAAAAAATTTGAAATTGAAATTTAACTCCTCATTAACTTGTCATAAATTCAGCATCTGAAACTTTTATTCTTCGGCTTTGATGATTTAATTGTATTGGCGTAAAAATTTCCATCTAAGTTCTCCACGCCACCTCTGTGTTCAACGAAAATAGAATCTTCTCTAGAATGAGGCTGAGGGTTCAACGATGGTAGGAGAAACGCTTCCGGATTTAGTCTTCTTGAATACTGCTCAATGGAGAAATCATTCCAAGCCCTCGTTCTAGCTCACCAGCTAAATATGAGGCTCCATCTTCGGTCAAGTAAATTCTTTTGTTTCATTATAAGTTGTTCTACGGTAAATATTACATTTACTTGAGTCTGTATTTATTAGTTCCCTCTCCATACACATGTATGCGCACAGGCGAACAAAGTTATTGTCAAGTTTCGGAATGTCATCTTCGTTAGCAAGTGTTCCTGGGTAATCTTTGAGGATATTTAGTGCAAGCGTCTTCAACAAAATCACAGGGAAGTGAATAGTCACTCGAGGTTTCAGATGGAGGATGGTGGGCTTTCTTCATCATCACCCAGAAGATAATCATCGTCATCTTTACTTAATTCGCCCTGGCTCATAATAACGGATGAGTTTTACTCCCAGTTCTCCGTCTATATAACGGTCTTCATTTCGGAATTAGAATGATTTCGGAGACATAATGTAGCCCATGATTTGCAATTCCGGATCAGTGATATGCGTAACGTGTGAAAAAATTCATTTCTTTATTAACCTTGCTAGCTCCGCTAATGAAAAAAATAGATTACAAAGCTGGATACAGACCCTGACTATTTGTTGAGAATACTACCAACACGACGTTTTTTCGCCAATGGTTTCTCATTCACTGCGCCTGCCCTATCTTCCAACAAACCAACAATTACCTCCATTACCCTTTTTACACTGCGCCGGAATTCGTCTTCATTATCGAGGGCCGACTTTTTGAAGCTGATGAGGTAATCCTTCTCGCTCGTGGAATAAATTCCTTCAGTCGTGTACAAAATGAAGTACCATTCCGTTGCTAAAAGTTGGGAGATAGATTAGCAAAATTTTGCTGGAAGAAAAAAAATTCGTTATTAACCCTTACCTGTAGTTACAATCCCATACATGTAGTCGTATTCGTCGGAAAATGCCTCTCCTGCCTTACGTTTCCGCTTATTCGTTTGACACGCGCTCTCAATCTGAAGTAAATTCTGGCAAAAACCAATCGCCACTTGGTGTTGTTTGCCTTCCGTGATACATACAATTTCCTCACGCAATGAATCTAGGAGTTTTTTGATGGCATAATCAACCCGACCCGTGGTTTCATCACCGACGACTTCGAATTGTGGTGCCAGGATAAGGCCTTCGAGGAGGCTTACTGACGCATGCAGAATTGGTGATATGAATTCACAACGCACCGCCTCATTGCTATCCGGTGCCAACCCTCCCAAATTTTTTAACCTGAGTCGTAATTCCTTTATGCACTGCATGAGCGCCTCATTGGTATCCTCGAGTTTGTGTATAGCCGGCTGAAATTGTGGAATGCTCGATATTGAATCACCGAGTTTATATTTTGCCAATACTTCCTTCACGTCTGCCTGAGTGCGGAAAGACGAATATGCCCTCAATTTTTCTCCTTGACTTCCTTGGCGAAATCCACAAGTGCCGTAGCAGGACCACCTTTCATTCCATAACTACGAAATTCATCTTTAGTCGTCTTGAGGAATGTGCGTCCGGTGATCTCCTCATTGCGTAAGATTTCGAAATGAGTTTCGTTAAGTTGCAAGTCTTCTTCCCTACGCAAAAATTCGATGAGCTTTTCCGTATTTAACTTTCTAACCACTTCGGCTAAAGTGGGAGCCTGCTTTTCTTCCGTTGCATTGTTAGAAGACGAAGCTGGAGTTTGAAGTGGTCGACATTTTCGAGCTATATATGATTTTTTGGTGGAATATTATTGGTAGACTGCGGAATGGTACACAAGAAAAAGCGAAAAAACGACAAATTCTACCGGCATGGGTATATGTGAGAAATGTATTCGGTTTCACAATGCGTGTATCACATTACCTTTCGGCATGTGATACACACCCCTACAGTATATTACCGGAAATTTCAAAAATGAATTTGTCACTTTGTAACCCGATATCTCGACATCCA